CAGTGTCAACTTTATTTTCCCACGCTCACAACCCCATTTCCAAGATGACCACCGGGGTCATAAAAAAATGTCTCTGCAGGTATATATAGATAGACTCAGGGGATAAATCTGAGTCGATCAACCTGATTTTTCCAGCCAGTAATGAGTATTTTGGGCGCGTTAAATGCTCCCTCAACATCAAACAAAAATTACTATGACATCCACCCTCGAATTCATTCCGCAGGCCGTAGACCTGCCACTGTCTAAGTTGGAAGGCTGCAAATAGACTACATCGTCCTGGACGCCATCTCGCACAAATCCGCACAAATGGAAAATTTTGAATTTTACTGTAAAACAAGTAACAAAATTCTTGGCACACCGCAGATTGGAACCAATAAGTCACGTCTCATCTTGTCATTCAACCACACATCATATTTTGTTCTAGGAACTTTTTTTTGATTACAAAATACGCACCCGTCACGTTAACGCCATATTCGCGCTATTCCGTGGATTATAAGTCGCCAGGGAAGGACTGAACAATTTGTAATTGGGCCCTTTCTTTGATGATGAACAAAAATGCTGAACCGGTGTACTCAACAATTTGCAAAATTTGAAGTTCGCGTGTTTTTTAAATAAATGAAAACTGAAAAATTGGGGAGAGGAACTATTTTTGCCATCATATTGTATCAGCATTCTTTATTTCCGCACGTAAGCTACATGTCAATATTGCGTTTTTAACTTCTCTTGGCCAGAATTCGACAGCAAACGCCGCTCAAGCATTCGTGATAACTGCGTAGGAGGCGTGACTTCTACCTCATTCCAGGCGAGGGGCTGGACTAACGTGAAACGCCTATATCCATTACATAGCAGATTTTTCTAGACCATCTGAAAGACCAAATATGTGTACAACATATACTGTGTAAGCAGGATGATATTGAATACTTTTTACCATACTATGCAAAATTACATTTTCTTCGTTATGCGCGGACTCGTGGACGAATGTATATACATACACGAGCGCACGGCGAATGCTGCCACATGAGTCCTTGCTTATGGCCTAATAACAATCGGTAGTTTTTGTTCGCTGACGTCTACAAAAAATTAGTCGCATGGACTCTTTTCACGGCGTTTGGTGGCGCCCATGAAACCTTCCCTTACGATTCAAAAACAGTCCATACGATCAGACTTTTCATCCAGCGGTGACAAAAAGACGGCTTGTTGCTGGCAAGTCGCGTTCCTAAAAAAACATTGAGTAATTCATTATGGATTTTGTTTCCAAGAAGTACAGAAGTCGCCTTCGGCTAGCTTTTTTACTTCATATCTATTGAATGCGAAATTTTTCATGAAAAACGCGATAGGATTATTATAATTGTCACTTTAGAAAGCAAGGAGTCAGCTCACCGATGAACGCATTGTAGAACATTATAGTGACCTGATTGAGAGCCCTCTGGTAAGCTTAGAATTTTGCAACGCAATGAATCATTTGTTAAACACTCAGACAGATTTAGTTTGCATTGCATTCTTATTGTGTGACTAAGCTATTTGGTGAATGTCATATGAAATTGACGGTTTAATGAGAATGATTCAGAGTAATAATTGGAATCTCCATAATTCATGTCGATGGTTATAATCACTTTTTTCAACATATTCAATTTCAAACAATTCAACAGGAAAAATATAAACTTTCATAATCGTCTGCGATAGATATTACTCATATGTTTTTAGAGCGATTCTACAATGCGTTCATCAGCTTTCCAACCCCTTACTTTCTGCAGTGACAATCGCAGACGAATTAGAAAATTCATACTTTACATGGTTCTCAGACGGAATTATTGTGAAAATAGCAACCTAAAAATATGACTAATTATTTCTCATTTACCAATCGCTATTGTGAATATAACTCATCGGCATGAACGAGACGATCTATTACAAATAACGAATTCATCGCAAATGTGGTATGGAAAACGTTCCTATTGCAACATCGAAAATATAATTTCATCTTTTCTCATTCACCGTTTCCCATCGTTTCGAGGGGGAATTGAACAAGGCATGCATCAATTTCTCTTTTCTCTCTGCAGGTCTTTCATGCATTATGGTAAAATGAATATAAATCAAGCTTCTGAGACACATTTTCAGTGTATAATATTCGTTATAAAATACGAACTTAATAGTCGTGATAAAACCAATGACCATCCATACCAACGCCCTGCTTGCCGACTCCGTTACCTTTGTCGGACTCTGAGGGGAGGCGAAAGCACGGTGGGGTTCCCATGAGAATGGCAGCCATTCCGGTTAATCCATGATGCCCAAATCTCAGTTTTTCAATACGTTTTCATTGCTCAAATTGTTAATTCGCATCCTCATTATATTGGGGTTGATGGCACTATGGAGTACTCTTGACAAATCCAAAAAATTGTAATTCAATTTTTCCCGCTTCATAGTTAAAGTCCGAAAGATGATAGATATTGAGTTGTCGCTCTACGCAGAGGCTTGAATGTTTTCATAATTGCATTTCAGGCAAAGTAAGGTCCTAGAAAAAATGGCAGTAATTTTTTTCTTTTGTTGATTTATATTTTGAAACATTTAAATTATGAAAAACTATTTACAATGAAACAAAAAATAGACTTTCCCATTACAAATTGACATTTTTTTCTAATTTGACTTAGAAAAAATAGTATGTATTGTGCCCCGGTAGTGTTGAAACAAGAAAGTAATCTACCCCATGGAAATACAATTAAGTAGGTGAAATTTTATTTTATATCTAATTGAGAAATGACTGTTAATCAATTTTCGGCATTTTCCCACAATGTTGTCATTTCCAATTTTTATATTTTCGAGCTCTTTAGCCTTTCGAACGTTTCAACAAGTACAAATTCCGTGATTCCAGGTACGATCCTCGTATAATATATTTGAAAAAAACGGATTTTCACTATTTGAAATTAATCAAGGTACCCCATCGTGCCCTGCGTACCCCCTCATGCCCTGGTCTCCCCAATAAGACTAACATTCCCGAAGACTTGCCACATTGCAAGTTTTTACTATGTTGGATAACTAAGATCAGTCAGCGTGCTTTAAGTTAGCTGCACTTTAGATGGTGTCACTAAGACGTGAGATCAGTGCATCTAGCTCTGCATTACAACACTGGCGGAGCTCTGGTATTATGATATCACATTGCGCGGAGATTGGAAAATGTAGGATTTCGCCATTGATGTATATATCAAGCAAATGATCTCGCATCACCTCGACTTCATACACGATATTTTCCGGATCTAAGCCATACATCAAAGTTATTGCAAATGCAATTGCAAAAACACCACAATCTACACAATTTGTTTGTTGCTGTACTTCACGGAAGATAACCGGATTATCATCAAATGAATGATAAGGGAAAAGTCGTTGTAAGTACGGCAAATATGGATTTGCACACGGTGGCTGGGTTCGATCACGCAATGAGTCATAGATGTAAACGTGTCTTGTGTCGTAGTAAGCACAAACCCAATGCGCACCACCACGATTTAGAATTTGAATATGCTTGCGGAACGGTTCGATGGGTTCTATTCTCAGCAACGAATCTCTCAATGATGGTGATCGATATTGGTAAAGATTTTGCGTCACTCGAGACACGATTGTCCCAAAAACATCTATATGAGTTGCCTCTAATTGACCGTGGGTATGATCCATCAGTACGGCGAAGTCTTCATTGGAAAGTTCTGTAGCTTGGAATTCCTCTACTGCTGCGTCGTGGACGTCTTCATGATGAATGGCCAATGAATCGTTTGGTGGACCACCATTTGAAACTTCAGGAATTTCATCATCAGATGCAATGCGATCTCCATTTCTCTCGGAGTTTGCTTGACGGCATGGTACATGACAACGACTTTTATCCCGTAAATTCATACTCCTACGATATCTACTGTCAACAATTTCCGGAATCATCCACATTTCATAAAATTCGCAGAGTTTTTTAACCATTTGATCCCTCCAGAAAGCTTCATCATGAATTATGGGGATTACAATGTGGTTTTGAGCAGTACATATATACAGCTGACAATGTTTCTTTTGGCTGATTGCAAGGCTGCCTATAACTTCATAATATAAGGGATTGTTCTTCTTTAGCTGACGATGCTCATCACAAAGTTTCAATTTGCTCATAGCCTCTTCCATTGACAAATTACGAACACTATAGGGACAATAGATGATAACAATCCCATCATCGAAATTGCCATCTGGTTTGGCGGCCAAGAACGGATGAGTTTTGTCGATTATTACACCACAGTCTTGAATAGATCGATATTTTTTCATGTCTCTCTTTACGCAGAGGGTATAGGATTGAGTTCTTTTTGATGATGGGTAGAGGATCTCTTTTACTGCGACTGCCGTTGGCGTTTCTTTCCTCATACGACATATACGTCCAAAATTGTGGCTGAAAAGAATCTTCTTCACATACATATTCTCGAATGGATCAAGCGATCGCGATTTTCGTTCTATGTTTTCACGGTCATTCTGCCAATCGCAGAGCACGGCTTTGTGAATTTCCAATGCCTCCGCATACACATGGGGATCCATGTCTGGCCTTTCACAATGACGACCATAATCTGTGGCCTGTCTGATGGCGTCGGAGTCATCAGAAGGTAATGGAGGCATCTTCTTCTTCTTGACGTATCTGGTGTTGTAATAATTCTTTCTCTGCTTCTGCGACTCCATTTTGCTCAGCTCCTGTGGTGGGATCTTATTCATTCCCTCATGAAGACAACTTCCGAGATCCTGATTGTTGAACTGAATAGCAGCCATTGCAATACGCGCCGGATACATGCCTCTCAATTGAACATTAACACCTTTATGATAAATAAACTTCGCCAAAACTGAATTAAAACATTCCGCCAGGTTGGCCGTTTCAGCTGCTAATACATGCTCAGCTGTGAGAGTCCAGGTATCCATGATGGCTTGTAACTGATCATACAAACCATTCTGTCGTAAGACCGAAATCAAATTGACCTCATTTTCTTTCCTATTTCCATCGCAGAAATAATCGGCACACTCTCCGTGAGAGCCGAAGACATGATTGAGCACATTTTTCATATCTTGTTTGAGAAGCGATATTTTCACCGCATCAGACATCCCTTCCTGTCCTCTTCGAAAGTTAGCAGCACATGTTACTGCTGTGCAAATCGTTTGAATTTTTCCAAAAATGAAGGTCTTCAATCTTTTCGCTTCCTCCGAGCGTCCGGTCTTGAATTTCGCTATCACTTCACGGATTTCTCGGACTCGACATCGTTGTAGATGACAGCGACATTCTCCTTTAGATACCATACATAGTCCTGGATATGGGTCGGCATCTCTCACTTTCTTGATGACGCTGCTGTCCCCATCTCCAATGAGCTTGTGATAAATCAAACCATGCTGTTCTAGGCTCTGCGTGAATCCTTGTACAATGACATCGCTTTCCACGGAAAGAATGCTCTTATCTCCTGGATAATTGACGAAGCATCTGTGGTTTGGAATGGGACATTGCCTGTTGTTGGCGCGAGTACAAACAAGGCAATATCGATTGCGGTAACCAACAAATAGAATTTTTTTTGTAGCAGCACCAATGATCACTGCCATTCCAGATTCTGCTCGACCACCGCTGTTGTAGCTCCTTACCGGCCAGGATCCATCAACAATTACTGAACATGCTGGAATTCCGTCAATAAATGAACCCGTATCATGAGCGATTCTGAGCTCCTCTTTGCCATTCTGTATAATTTGTTCCTCAGATATTTTCACATAAATGTCATCAAGTTCGGCGCTAATTTCCTTGAAAATTTTGAAGGTTGGACAAGGGATGCCGACATTAGCTGTAAATTCTTGCAATGCCGCATGCCCTTGACCAATCGCGCTGATTCCGGCAACTGCACATCGATTAACATCGAGACGATCATCATCTTCTAATTCTGATAAAAGCTCACTTCGAACATTGCAGTTTCTGCATTGGAATATCCACTT